ATTTTATTTTTTTGTCCCCTGACTTGAATTTCTCGCTACATCCCGGCTGTAAATTCCTTAAACAGAGTCGAGGTTGTTTATTCAGCTCGCTGGAAGTGGCCCCAACGTGCCAGAATAGTCTTCTTGATTAGGAGAAAAACGTAGCCTCTGGGCTCATCAATTCAACCCGTACCGTGTACGAACGGTCTGATTGAGGATTTGATACCCCAATACATCAAGAAAATAATAAGCACGACTTTCTGCCACCGGAACTCTAGCACGTCCTTTGACCCGGCAACAGCGAATAAGTAAGCCAATTAAAATTAAAAAAAAGAAAAAAAAAAGAAAAAAAAGTGTACGCATAAGCTAATATAATTTACAATCAAAAATAAAATAAAATAAACTTCAGCTAAACAGAATGGATGAAATTAAGCCGCATCGTGTTAATGTTGCTAATGGATGAAATTAAGCAGCATTCTTATGATCTCTATTGGCCCGAGGCAGAAGATGACGAGAAATGGGAAGAAAACATCTATTGGGGATTAATTGCTGCAATACAGGCGGTTCGGCCGTGCCAAGTTCAGGTCCTTCTTAAGGTCCATCCTCCTCCCAAAACTCACCGGAAGCCCATGCACAACTTCTCATACTAATTTTTTTGGTTACCAATTTTAAATTTTGTTGGAGAAAAACTAAACGTTCTCAAATGTTTAGAGAGTTCGAGCAAATTTTAGAAAAACCTTTTTACAACAAGGACTACGGGAGGCTTGATTTTTTTTTTTTTTTTTTTTCATTTCTTTACCATTCCTCTTCAAGCTAAACAAAGAGACTAGAATTACAAACAATGCCACTTATCATTTTGCTCTATTGAATTTCCTTTGAAGCTTCTTGCTTATAAGCTAAGAATGTTTAAAAAGTAAGTTTTTGTGAGAAAAAATAAAATAAAATTTCTTAGTTATATCAACTCAAAAAATGAAATAAAACTCCACCAAACACCCGTTATTCCCCCAAAGTCTCTGCCATTCTCCTTTAAGACTAACTTTTCCATTATTTCCGCAGGACACGACGTCCTTGACTCAATTTACCCTTGCATTAAATTGTTTCATCATGGATACGTACAGATGAAAAACAAATTGAAATGTCAAATCAGTAAGAACCACTAGAAATCCGCAAATTGATAGTAATATATTTTTTACGTGTTTTCTTCCTGATGCTCTGCTCCATACTGACCCAAATGGGTTTGCATAATCTTACGTTAGCACTTGTTACTGTTTTTGTTCTTAATATAGTTGCGGCTGTGAATCAATCAACTCCGGCAGCACGACCACCGCCAAACTCTACAAGTACAGCATCACCACCCCCAAACTTTACAAGTACAGCACCACCACCGGCAAACTCTACTGTTGAACCAAGTACAGCACCACCACCGGCAAACTCTAC